CGGAATGATATTCTTATTACACAAGCAATTCATATTCATTATACCCAATTTAGCAAACACAGATAAACAAAAAGAAGAAATTTCAAAATTTTCTATGATCGTCTTCCATAATATTTGGGTGACTATCCTTTTCTGTTTTAAGCAACTGCCTGCCTCTTTGTCTATGCACTTTTTTCTCTTTATAAAAATCATGCTACCTAAAAAATGGATTATTGGTTGGGGAAATGGGGAGGGCAGTGCAGGAGTGATCACAAAGGGTACCAGGAAAGCTTTGGGGGGTTCACTATCTTGATTGTGGAGATGGTTTCATGGAATCTATATAAGTCAAACTTATCACATTGTACACTTTAAAAATGTGCAATTTGGGGACTAGCAGTTAGTGTAATGGCTATGTCACTGGACTCCCATGTAGTCAACCGAGGTTTGCGTCCTGGACCCGGTGGCTTAAAACTCACGCCAGGCATGTGTGCATGTGTGCCCAAGATCCCAGAGGAGAATGGAGGAGAAGGGATTGCGGCGTGGCCATTCCCTCTGGGGGGTGATTTCTTGCTTTCTGTCTCTCTGTCTCTCTCTGTCTGGTGAGCGCACACACCCTGTAGCAAAAACCTCTCCAAAAAAAAATATATATATATGTGCAATTTGCTGGGTAAGTGAGGAAGCACCCCTCCACATGGAATGTGGTCACCCTGCAATCCTATTCCCTCCATCCCATCAGGATTTGGAGCATGTACACACCTTCGTCACTAGCATGTTTCTCAAGCTGCCTGGCCCACGATTTGAACTGCAGTTGGTCATAAAGGACCCTGCTCCCAAAACGCAGAGCATAACCACTACACTATGGGGCCACCCAGTATGCACAGTTTATCTGTTTGTTTTAGAGAGAGATTTTTGCTGTAGGGGACATATGCATGCCAGAGAGGCAGAGAGACAGAAAGCGAGAACTCCCCCACCCCCAGGGGAGATGGCCACGTGGCAATTCCTTCTCCTTCATTCTCCTCGGGGGATTTTGGGCATACACGCACACACGCCCAGCGTGAGTTTTAGCCACTGAGTCCAGGACTAGAACCCTGATCAACTATATGGGAGTCCAGAGACGTAACCATTACACCATCTGCTGGTTCCAACACATTTTTTAAAGCGTTCTGTTCTGTGGCACTTGTGAAATCCTGGGCTGTGCCACCCTTGTTCCCAATCTGTTCTCATGACTTCCTCCCAGGACCCTGGCCCATGTCTTCCAACCAGCCATGCCTAGGGGTGAGCTTAGTGACGCAAGGTCCTTCTCTCCTAAGCGGAAACCATCCTTCTTTGGTTCAGCCTGCCAGGCAGACTCACGAAAAGAATCTGCCCCCAGTTAGCTTCCACGCTGGCCTGCACCTTCCAGACTGACAGTCCCTGCCAGGCCACCCAGGGGCACGGGGCCATAACTGGCTAAGGCTTTACTGCACCCATGCAGCAGCCTGGCAGGCGTATAGGGGATCCATTAGGCCTTTGAGGTTCAGCGTGACCCGCAGCGTAAAGGACACAGCTGAAGGGGCCGGGACACCTGGGCTGGGGCAGTCGATTGCGGTGATGGAGGGAGCAGCCTGGAGAACCCTCTGTACCTGCGCGCGTCCGCCGCTGACGCTCAGGATGTACCCGCTTCCTGTTTGCTCAGCCTCTGCTGCGAGCCAGCTCACACACCCACCGCAGAGTCTTCAAAGGCCGCCAGCAAATCAGGGTGCTGGGCGGCCGTGGCCTGGGGAAGGCAGAGATCAGGAGGTGAGGGTCAAGTAGAGAGAGGTGACCAGTCCTTAGGAGAGAGGGAATGAGTGTTTTCAGTCCCATCCTTCTTTCTCCATTTCGGATCTGTCTCCTGTGGTCAGCCGTCCTTGCTGTGGAGGTCCAAGCTCCCTGCATCCGGACTTGTCCCCCCCCCTTCTCTTCCAACACATTGCCCCAGCTGGCTAATGGGCCTTGCTCACTAAGTTAGTAGGTTCATTTACATTTTGTAGGGTACATTGTTGCAGGTATACAGAGCCCTCGGCTAAAGAAGTGATTCATCCAGTGAACAAGGCTCCCTTAAACCTGATCATGACCTGGCAGGCAGGTCCAGGGAGCTTGCTGTGGGCACACCCTTTGCTAGGCGCTTGGAGGAGGTGCAAAATAAATGGCTGTCAAGGTCCCTGGCACCCAGGAGCTGACATCCTAGGTGGGGTGGCAAGCTTACATTTGCCCAGCATTTGTTCTTTGCCAAGCACTACATTTGGCACTAAACAAACATTATTTATTTAATCTCGCCACTCCTTCCCCTCCCCTCCCCCCAATGCTTGGGTCCAGATACTGAGATAACCTGGGGGCAGGACTCAAGTGTAACATGAAATTCGTTTCTATTTCCTATTCACCTTATACACATAGCCTGAAGGGAATTTTGTACAATATTTTCGTATTACAGTGTTTTTTTTTTTTTTTGGA